ATATTTTATTAAATGTATATTTTAAATAGATATTTTAAAATATAAGAAAAAAGTGTACGTAAATAATTAATTCAAAACTATTAATTTTGATTAGAGTAACTAGTGTAATTGTAGATACATATCAGATATTTTGTCTTATGAGATAAATTTTAGTATTTTTTCATCCTAATAATATTTGTTGATAACGTAAGTTTTATTATAATTAATAGTCTGTAAAATTTATATTAAAAGTCAGTTTGTTTAATTTTTACACTGCAACATTATTCGTAAAACAGACTGTGCACTTTAATAGCATGTATTTTCTTCTTGGCATACAGTCTTAAAATTAAATATTATATAATCCTTACGAAATGAACTACATTCGTAAATATTGCTTATAATTTATAGTACTTATACTATCGCGTAAATAAAGTTTCATCGAAAGCCAAGATTTAATTTTCACATTGTAACATTATTCATAAATCACATTATGTATGCGCATCACATACATTTTCTTGTGTAGCATACAGTTTCAAAATTAGACATTACATAATCATTGTGAAATCAACTAACGTTCGCAAACATTGCTCATAATTTATAGCACATACACTACTATTCAAATAAATTAATTCTTTCAAAATAATTGTTCCAAAATAATTGTTCCAAAATAATTGTTTCAAAAAATTTTTTCAAAATATTAAGAAATATATACAAAGAATGTGTTATTATTATTTCATAGAAGAATATATATTAAAAAATGATTGATCTAGGAGAACTTTTGCTGCTTTTATTTATAAAATGCAATTTAACAATAATTTATCATCACATAATAGAATATATCAATTTCTCCGTATTAAATTAAATCAAGGATTAATAAAAAAAGAATGATAATATAATTATTTTCGTTTACCTTTTATTTAAAACAAAAATAATTGTAATTTTAATTAATGTATATTTTGATACTCTAGTTGAGGGTACTATAGTTCAGGTGTTTAATTCAGAAAATGTTAGCAGACTATTCCTGTTGCGAATGTAAATCAGAGGAATGGCTAATTAGTAAAAGGCTCATATGGATTTCATTTCTGAGGTATGCGGTGGCTTAGAAGCATTTACGTTACAATGCAAATAGTTATTCTCACCCGTTAACTTATTGCATAGAGAGAGCATTGGAATGGTCTAATTATAGTTAAACCAAAAGTGTTGTTATTAATAGTATTAATAATCAGTATTAATTGCTCATTTTCCGTCGCGTAGATATCTACATGATGACGCTTTTTGTTACATGTATCATATACCAAAGCCGAAATCGTTCGAGTATTTTATAGTTCAGTAATCAACAATTCACTCAATAAGAGTGTATAAATACGTACAAAAACTGAGAAATTCCCTTTTTAATTTTATGTACATGGAAACCTTCAACATTCTTATCAATAATAGGTTTACGTATATTATCCATCACAAGAAGGTTTCTGTCGTCGAAAATAAAGTGAATAGAGGAGGGATGATTGATCTCAGTTGAGATTGGCAGCGAATAAGCGATGTCGAGTAAAGACGGAAATTGACGAGGCAAGTATTTTTCTAGATAGTATGGCCTGGAAAATGGTGAAAAAAAAGAGTCCAAGACGAAGGGAATTTTCCTCATGAGAGGCATCTGGCTTACTCGATCGTAAACAGGAGAAATATGAGTCTTATATCCGGAAGCAAGTGTAAGCTTTTTTCACTGACGACACAAAGATAAAGACAACGATGATAAAACGCCTCTTGTGTGTCTGACATTATGACGATACTCGGATTTTCCTCTTTGTTTAATACAGAAGTCCAAAAACTTTAATCGCCACTATTTTATTCATATCATACACACAGAATTTTCATTGTGCTACCAAAAGAATTAGAAATATACCAGAGAGGTAATATTAACTGCAAAACTCTCTATGCTCCTCGGCTCTTCATGAGCTTTCCCTGTATGCTTATTTACTTATACTTTTCATCTTCCCGTACTGTGGTGAGAGAATTATTGAAGATCTAAGTTTTTATCTCAGATGTAACGACCGTAAAAATCTACAACGTAAAAATACACGTCACTTTACAAATTGATTTTCGCGTCAACACATCGTTTCTTTTAATCGTTTTTTAAATTTACGAGATCAAACCTTCGTAAACTATCTCATACTAAAGTAAACAAGTCAGTTCTCGTAAAATGTAATGAGCTCACAATGTTTCACAGCGATGTGCCAAGAGAGTCACGTGCAGTTGAAAAAAGTTTTACAGAAATTATTCCGGCAAATTATTCTGGTGTACATATATATATAGTCGAAAATACTTTTAATTTCTTTATTACATACCCCGCTGTGTTACTTAATGTTTCTCATATTTCATAAACTTGGAATGAACATTTTCTTTCGTTAAATCTTACGGGAATATCCAAGGGAGAAGGAAGTAATAATGACACATGAGTGTCAAGCGAATCCCGGATCTTCAGCGAAAATTGAGTAATAGAATGATCTTATGCAGCGTTTTCACTTTTATTTAATGTTTACATAAGGTCAATGCACGTAAAATTGTTACAAACAACTTTCAGCGACTCTCTCCAGCCGTGAAGTCCGTCGCGTTCCCGGGTGCATCGATAGTTTTCAAAGTTTCTCCGAATTTCCCAATCTGTCCCTCTTTATCATCCGTACGCCGTTGCTCTCATCTTCTTCCCTTTCTCGGGAACAACGTCTGGCGAGATCCGGTTGTGGCTTATGCAACCGAGCTTTCTACGTGATCGACTGCATGCATGCGCGGTTCCGAACCAGTCCTTGCTCAGGAAGCGGGAGATCAGTTTCGAATCTTTGCTCTTGTTTTCGATGCACCGCGAAAGTATTCGTATTACGTGTGCCGGCGTTGAATCTTTCTCTTTCGAGTCACACCGATGCGATGCCCTCGGGATCAGTGGTTATCATTAAGGTTGTGTGGCGAGTTGGCACGGATTTTAATTTAATTTTATCTTTTTCTTATCGATTTACATAGATTATATAAATGACGTCGATAACGAAAAAAGCTTGAACATTTAGAATTAACAGATATATATATAAAAGAGAAATAATATCGTTATTATTTGATCTCTTCTATAGAATTTCTAAAGAAAGAAGGGATCATGTTTTCATAAAAAGGAATTTCTCCAGTGCCATGTACATTTATAACGTCCTTTACACAAAGTAATAATATTATAATATATAAGAAGCTTGCGAAATATCGCAATTTTAGTTAATTGCAGATAGTCGAGAAATATATGTAATAATACGAGAAATATGAATCAAAGCGGAACTTACGACATTTTGAATACGAATAACGTTTGAGAAACGATGCTATATTTAGATAAACAAGCATATTTAGTATTATTAGCATATTAGTATTACTGCAAGGTTGACAACTCTCCTTAAGGATGCTAGTCATGCCTAATTAAATCGCTTAAGTATCGAAAAATAAACTATTTGTTTGAAGACAAAAATTACGAAACTAATTTTTTTGTCGATTGTTATGTTGAAGATTTAAAATAATTATTTGTCCGCTATATATATATACGTTCGCGTATACGAAATAAAACTTTTATTTTTATTTAGCCAAATTTGATGAATATTATCACACATTTTTACGATTGCTGCATTCCAGGCAAGAGTCTAGACCTGACGTAATCAATTTTATAGAGAAAATATTTTTAAAAGCCATCGTAATTATGGCGTTTTAAGCCAGTGCGAATAGAAGAAAATGTTTAGCAAATCGATCACATGTTGATAGAAGTGTTACGTGCCAACGATGCGGAACGCACGTGGGGTATATTCAGCCTTTACACGCGGAAGTGAAAGTCAATATTTCGCGGGATAAGTTTTCCTCATTGATTCTCCTAAGCGCGCCTCCAAGATTTTCTTTTGACCGACTCGACTGAGAACCGTGTATCTGCAGTCGGTGAAGTGATTTTCATCCTAAATACTATTCCATTTGTCGATACCACGCACGCAAATTATAAAAAATTTTGTAAAGCGACGCTAAGCAACTAGAATGCTATTAATTAAAATTTTTTAATATTATTTATTATTATTAAGTATTAAAATATCACTTATAAGCTTCTGAAGTTAATATTAATGATCAAAAAGGAGCTTGACAATGATCCACTTTTTTTATTTTCACAATTTTCTGATTAAATAGAAATATAATTTTTATTTTTCGTTTGAAAAAATTTATTCAATTTTTTTAAATTCATCCGGTTTTTTAAAATTTATTCTGTATGAAATGGATTAATTTATAAAGGCCCTCCATCATTTCCATCAATTTTTGTAATTATATACGTTAGTGATGTTCTTTCTGAAGCATATTTCTTGAAAATTCATTTTTTTATATAAATTTTTGTATGCACATAAAATTTTTGTCAATGTTGCAGTAAATTATTATCAGTAGATTACAGTATGATTAAATTATTTATGATTTTATTTATAATCGCTGTTCTAAATTCACAACATGTTTAATTTACCTACCATTAACGAACATTTCATATATTGCTAATTTGTTTGTCAACATTGATTTTATATAACAACGTGTTACAATAATAGTTTATTATAGCTTTAAAAACATATTTTATAATTAGAATTTCGATGACATTCTTCTGCTCTTTTTACCAAATCGATTCTCAAGTCAGGATGGCCGAGCGGTCTAAGGCGCTGCGTTCAGGTCGCAGTCCACTTCTGTGGGCGTGGGTTCGAATCCCACTTCTGACAAATTTTTTTTATGCTACGAAGCAGTGAGAATAATATAGTTGTTTTACAACTGTTATTCGCAATGAAAAATTTCATTTTACTGATCTCTACTAATTTGTGTATAAATTTAATTAAAATTTTTTTTTGGTTGCCTTATGTCAATAATTAAACTCATTTAATTTGTATGTATTTATTACCGATTAGATACATAGTTTCAATATAACTTTGTATGATTTTAAATCGTATATTATATTTAAAACAATCATAGTTTACTTCAGTTCTTTTAGCAGATCAATTAATTTTACGATCGTTGGTGCGATTGCTCATGTTGAGGTCTTTATCGAATTTATCGACCATATCAAGACGTAAGAAAGAGCCAACGATAGATCGAGCTGTGGATGCAGCTCTGCCAAATCCACCCATAGAGCTTGCGCTGCTGTTGCTACTCTTGGAAATTTTAACGGGTTTAGTCACTTCAAAGATGTTCACAGCAAATTTTAACTCGGCAATTAGTGCTTCCCACGGCGTAACCTGTACGAAAGATAATAATTAAATTTGTTTCACAACTTAACTATGATAAAAAGAAGTAAAACTTTTATATTATACATTAAAATTTTGAATAATTTTCTTTAAACGGACAAAATTAACTTATTTTATTTATTTTAAATTTAATAATATACCAAAGTGAACATAACAAAGTGAAAATTTACCTTTTCTGTCACAGCGACTTTACGTATATTCCACAGAAATTCGCAAATTGCGATAAAAAATGAACCGCACAAGCCACACATTAAAACAAAGAATACACCTCCGACGCTTGCCAATCCTAATTCGCTTGTGCTTGCACTCTTTTCTGCTTCATCCTCTATGCATAAACCTCCTCCTATATCTTGCCACCACTTTTTTTTGAGTGCCAGCAGTACACCTTTCTCTCCCAGCGTTAGGATCGCACGATTAATCGGTGTTCTATATGGAGAATCTACGGAAGAGATGCAAGAGAAATGATAAAGGAATGGAAAAATATTGGATGTATACAAAGAATATATTATAATATTATATAATATTACTGCGCGGCATAGCTATGCCATAGCCTTTGTTGTCAATTAGTCCGCCTATTTTGATTATATCGCAGTTGCGCTCCATTTTATATTCGATGGTAGTGGATTCCATGAGAAAGGCATATTGTCTTTTGCCCTTGATAACTCGGTCGACACCTGGAACGTATCGCAATAAAGAGTCTAAGAAATCGAATCTAAGAGAAAAAAATTTGTTTTTTCGAATAATGTAACTCTTTAAAAAAAGGAGATTCTTCATATGCGTATTTTATTTTGGTATTGCCCACCTTCATCATTATTTGATGTGAATACGCTTGGCCTAGAGTCTAACATTGTAGCCCACATTCGTTTGTACGTTGAATAGTTCGAATCCTGCAATTGGATATTGAATCATATCTGTTATTTTTATATTGAGCTAAATATGTCGATAAATAAGCTGTTAACAAACTGACTTTGAAGAATGTAGACGTTGACCCACCCTCTAATGCACCGTATTTGATTTTTGTTTGCTTGGCTAAATCTTCAACACCTTTAATAGGCGCGTCCATTTTGTCCACTGTGAGAAAGGCGGCTAGATTCGCTGTATATGAGCTGATCATGATCAAGGTGAAGAACCACCACATGCTTGCAAGCATGCGCAGAGACGGTGCTCTGTAATGAAAGTGATTTTGTTTTACATAAATTATAATAATTTAAAACGTCGAAAGAGTGCCAAATCTAATTATTTGATAATAAGCATAACAGTAAAATAGACATTCAGTATAGATCAAGTCACTTGTGAAATATTTATATACATCATATTTCAAATATGTAAAATACAATTAAAATTATATTAGTTGGAATAATTACTAAGAATCATACACTATAACTGAAAATGACATAAAGCATATAAGCATGCATAAATAAGAAAATAATTAATCCTTGATTAAAAAAATAATTTCTTTAATGTTTAAAATATGTTTATTAATCATAGTACAATGATAAATTCATTGTCATATTAGACTTTATTTACTTTGGCAATATATCGGAACCTTGCTGCATAAGTGAACCAATATTCAACCAAAACGAGTTTTTAAAGTTGAAATTGTTTTCGAGTTCTTCAGGATCGGCATTGCATGGATGCGGATTGTCCCACTCACCAGGTGCCATTCTTGAGAAAGAATTTACAAAACGCAAGTCACATTTTTTTAACGGTTATTTTTACTAATTTTTATTAATTTGAGAAGGATAATTCTTATTACATTTTTGTCAAAATTGTAAAATATTTTATCTCTGAAAAATTTTACCTCGCCTGAAGGAATAACATTATCGATACCCCGAGAAAAGCAGTTGCCATGTAGAACCATACTTCGGTGCTTAAAGGTAGTAAAAAGGAAAAAAAGTCTGGTACCTTCTCTTCCGGTTTGTTAAATACAATGCTTATACCTAATAAACACAAAGTTGGAATATATATTGTCATAAATTAATATATAATAAAATGTAATTATTGTATTATTGCTTTTACAATATTTTAAGAATTTTAAATTGATTTTTTAATTCTCTTCTAGAATTTATAATAAATAACAAATTATAACGATATTAGAATATTTTTTGCATTTTATTCTTTTTAATAGATATTGTATTATATACATAATATTTACCGAGATTCATGAACGGCAAACTAAAATCCACAGCGCTCTTGCGCTCGTATGTAATGGTTAAATCACATATTGCAAGATCGGCTTCCTACACAGTAAAAAAATGTATTTGTATTGGAAACGGTCCACTCACGTTTGTGTTAACAGTTTGTGGAGAATTTTTTAACATATTCAAGTGTTAATTTAACATAATGTGATATTTAAAGATTTTTTGTGAAATTGATATTCAATGTTTCTTAGTGTCAAAATGATACAATTTATACACCCAGAGAAAGGTTTCTTCGATTCAAAGAAATGTTTCTTTGCTATACGATTAAAGAAAAAATTTCTTTGAATCGAAGAAACCTTTCTCTGGGGATGTGAGTAAGTGAACAAGTAACATAAAAATAATGTTTTAAAACGTAAACTCTAAGACAAATGAATAAAATATATGTTAATTTAACATATCATAAATGTTAATTTTTTGAAAAAAAAAATCTCACGGTTTGTTTACAAATTGTGGTGATGTTATTTTTCTTTGTATTTACTCTCTTACATAAATATTTGTGTTATCTTCTAACATATTCATCTTGTGTAAAATTAATTGAAAAATTTGAGTGGACCGTTTGGGACATGCGATTTATGTTAAATTTAACACATTTTTTCCAACTGTGTATAATAAATAATATTTAGAAATAAAATAATAGAAATGGATGATAAATAACAGTTTACGGAAAAGTAAGCCGTACTTTTGCTTATCACGATAAATAGGAAAATTCCATAAAATTGAGAATGATGAACGTGGATTGACGTGGATTTTAGATAAAAGATGGATTATTGCGTTTTTGAAAATTAATTTGTAATGTGAAAACAAATGATTTGGTACATGTTTCTTGTTTTATAAAAGAAATTGCTTTTTGTAAAAGAATTTTTTTGCTTGAAGTCGACAAAATAAGGTAACAGAAGTAAATTTAAAATAAATCTCCTTTGAAGCAATGTTTTTGCAAAACAAAATATTTTGCTTACACGATCCAAAATGCGCCTGATTAAACCATCCCACGTCTTTGTGACTGGATCATATTTGCCATGCTTTTGATCGGGTACCATTTCAAATACTACTCCCTTGAAATGTAGAAATTTTGCTATATAATTAATCAGATCGATGCAATAACCTTCATAGCGTTTTTGATCGATCAATTCTCCGCGCATTGAACCATCCTTTACCTCCATTATGTACGGAGCACTCTGGATTGGAAAGTTATTTACATGTTTCATATCTTCAAAAATATATGTATAATTTAGAGTAGAGAAAGCTAAGAGAAACAGCAAGAAAAAGTGACAGAAAGAGCAGGAGAGAGAGAGAGAGAGAGAGAGAGAAGAATACTTATAGAAAAATTATGTATAATGTGAGAATTAATTAACGTATAGTAATACGAACTTCTTTTACGCTAATCGTGAATGTCTTTTCTTCCATGGATTTGTATAAATAGCTGTCTTGCTCCTTTTGAGTCCGTAGAATATTTACACCGCTCAAACGTTCCCAGAAACCTGTTTGTACCATACCCGATGGTCGAAAATTAAAAATTTTTACGTTAAAATCTTGTCGACGACCGTACTCGTCAATGTTCATAAAGCCCGTTATCTTTCCCACTTGTGACAACTATGTAACAAAAAATTAATTTTATTATTTTCAAAATAATTGATAAAAATTTATCATGATCATTATTAAATACAGGATGTCCCATGGGAATTTTTGTTTTTTCAATAACTGAATACCTTCGAAAATGACAGCTGATTAGTTTCAACACATTCCCATGGGACATCCTGTATGAGATTACTTAAATTGTATTCGAATAATTTTATTTAATTATATTCGAAAATTAGTAAAATTTGTTATTATATTCATCACATTCGATAGTTCTAATATGGCATTACAAAGATTTTATTTTTACAATCGTATATAAAAATATAGGAAAGTGTTTATCCATTGAATTACTTTCTTTATATGTATATCCTAAGACAAAAATCAAATTACTACTTTTTTAGTTTGTAAGAAATATAAAGGAAAATCTCCCCTTACCTCTCGCATAACGCTGGTAATATTAGGTCCCACTTGATACTTTATAGTATTATTAGTACAAGAAAGTGGTATAGGATCAATGGACATATATTCTTCGTTATCAATATTTCTTGCATTTAAAGTCTCTAATGCTTTTTGTAATAAAAATACTGCGTCATAGAGAACCGCTGAATCCAGCTACATAAAATCGCAAACAATATATATTCAGGCAGTCAACTTATATAATTCTATATAAATATTCTATTTTAAATATTTTGTTTTAAACTCAATAAGAGAATATAAACTTTTGAGATTATATCATAATTAATATATCATATACTCATTGCTAATAAAAAAATTAAGAGGTTCTTGAATGAATACCCAATCAATTCCTTCTATGTCATTCTCTCTTATGCTCAATCCAGTGATATTAACCGTACCATTTCGCATCTCGAGGATAGGTAGCTTGGATGAATCCTACGATTTCAATAGAAAGATTATTTCAAAAACTATTTATACTGTTTGTTTTCTAGCAATTGGCACAAAAATAATATACAATATTATGTTTTATCTATTCTATTTAATTTTTCTTACATATTTAATTTTGATAGTTTAATTCATAGTTTTTTAAACACTAATCTTTTTACTGGAAATATGTGAAATACACATGTTTGAAAGTACCGTTTTGTTATTGAAAATTGTTAAGTAATATACTATACCATATATGTTAACACAAAATCGCAATAATCTGCTAACAATCTGACTTCCTTTGCTTTTTGGAGCACTTCCATAATATGTTCCGGCTTGACATCAATAATTATATTGCACACCGACAAAGAGCGTATCTCTTTAAGCATCGCACGATAATCCGATTCTTCGTTCAACTGTCGTACTGTGTGTACAATCGGATTATCTTTGTCTCCTTTTAGAGTCAAAGTCTTCTGTAGGCGCGATAGTCCCTCGTCAGTTTCGTAAATCGCTGCGAAATTTCGCCATTTCATTGATGCAATGACATCAGCAATAGCCTATAGTTTTGTCGATTAATAATACATTACAAAAATAATAATTGTATTTTAAATGCAACGATATCAAAATTACGATTTCTAGAATCGTAGACTAATCGTAGACTTTACTAACAGTAAAAAAATTTGTGTATTTGTGTTGGAAACGGTCCACTCACGTTTGTGTTATCAGTTTATGTTGAATTTTTTTAACATATTCGAGTGTTATTTTAACATAATGTGATTATGTTATTTAAAGATTTTTTGTGAAATTGATATTCAATGTTTCTTAGTGTCAAAATGACACAATTTATGAGTAAGTAAACAAGTAACATAAAAATAATGTGTTTTAAAACGAAAATTCTAAAACAAATGAATGAAATATAGTATGTGTGTTGATATAATTTAATATATCATAAATGTTAATTTTCTGAAAAAAAAAATATGTTCCCACAGTATGTTTACAAATTGTGTCGATGTTATCTTTCTTTGTATTTATTCTCTTACATAATATTTGTGTTATCTTCTAACATATTCACCTTGTGTAAAATTAACTGTGAAAAATTTGAGTGGACCGTTTGGGACATTTATATTAAATTCAACACATTTTTTTCAACTGTGTACGTTCGATTTGATTAATTAGATGTACACCTAAAAATCATCACGTAAACCAATAAATTGAATTATTACTTGCACTGTTAAACATCTTTTTCAAATTTTGCGATTTACTATAGCGTATAATCAACAAAATCGATTTTCGGTTGTGAAGCGTTCTTTATAATAGAACTCTTTATATAGCGACTGACCTGGCTGACTTGCTCACTGGCAGGAAATACATTTATAGTCATCGACGATAGAATCTTCTTTTTTTCGTTTTTCTCTATTGATCCTTCGTTTTCCCGCCAGACATATTCAATGTGCGGTATATCATATAGAGCTGCAATGCTCGCAACTATACCACGAGTATGCCTGCTTGCAGGTCCAAAAATGGCTGCCACACCTTCCTCAAGAAGGTCGCAAGCTATATATGTGAAAAGTAATATAATATCGATTAAGTATATGATAAATTAACAATATATCTAAAATTATAGAATAAAAATGCAATGTGAAACCTTCTTTGTAAACTCGTTTTATTTTTCAATTTGCACACGAATTTTTGTGACCATAAAAAAATAATTTTTTTGTCCCGTTTTAAATTATCATGCTTGAATATTTGATAACATTTTCCGTGTGTATATATATATATATACACATATATTACGTGTGCGTGCGTGCGTGCGTGTGTGTATACATACATACATACACACACATACAGGATGTCTCTGAAATAAGGTCGGGGTTGTATTGGGGGCGTAGAATGGGTCAAGGGGAACAAAAAAGTCTTATACGATTTTGTTCCGTTTTATTCAGTCAATTCGAAGATTTTTATATGACTGTAATGTGATAATTTGATCACTCCAGCATCCCCTTAATTCGAAAACTACAGCGGATATCTCAAAATGGTATAAGACGTTTTTGTTCGCCTTGACCCATTCTACGCCCCCAATGCGGCCCCGACCTTACTTCAGAGACACCCTGTATATATTACAATATATAGATTATACGTATAACTATAGAACTATTCTAAACATTTTCAATTTCCTATTCTCGGGATTGAATTAGAGTAAATACATTATGGGAAAATATTGCATATTTATAATTATTAGGAAATAAACTTTTTGATATATTATGGAATAATTGTCATTCGGAGTAATTGGTTTCACCGCGTACTCACCAGCTAAGGCAGTCTTAAAACTATCAGTATTAGCATCGATGTACTTAATGACAGGGGTAAGCTCGAATGCGGGTGCAAGATTTTCGTATTTTGTGTCAGAGATTGCTTTTAAGAATGCAGAGTTAAGATGTTCATCGCCTTTGTGAAAGATTGCTCCTAAAAAATATATTAATAATTAATTTAAAAAATTTGTAAAACGTCTTACTTTGTTTAATTAAAATTAATTAATATTAATGTGTAAAATATAGTATAAAGAGGAATTTGTACATGATTATATACATTACTCAACAAAAAATAGAGAATACTTTCGAACACGCTCAAAATTGCACAATCTTCGAATAACCGTAACTCGGTGTAAAATCATCGTAGATAAAAAAATAAAAAAGCATTTTAAAGCTTGAAACTCTATATTTCAAAAATCGGTAATTGATATTTCGATATGACTGATTTTTTGGGGAGTTATACGAATATAAACGGATATCCGTCAAATCTAAAAATTTTATGCGAAATTTACAAAATTCCATGGCGTGAACTAAAAATCGTATACAAATGCAGTTTACAACATTCGAAAGAGTGAATCTTTACCTTTAATTTGTTTTTTTATTGAACATTGTACGATTTTTTTTCATCGAGTTATTCAACATTGAAGCAACAGTGGTCGCTTTTGCTTCAATGTTGAATAACTCGATGAAAACAAATCGTACAATGTTCAATAAAAAAAACTAAATTAAAAAGATTAATAGATAATCGCAATTAATTTTCTAATTATAATATAGCTCTAAATAATTATTACATACCTATATTTACTTGAATAATAACTAATATTAGTTGATGACTACGCACGAATTCGCAATTTACGTTATGCACGCGCGTGTCGGATCAATATTAAGTACCTAAGCGCATGTGAACACCGTTAAAAATATTTCTCTTGCGTGACTTTGTGAACGTACCTACATTGGTATTATCACGAACAAAATTTATCATTACTGAATTTTAACTCTAAAATTTATAAATATATTTTTACTTCTGTCATATCAAGAAAATTTTTTATGTTAAACATACTTTTTTAATTTTATTTTGATTATGAATCCATGTATTTTATAGCATTTTTTATGATGATTTGTCATAAAAAAGAAGAAAACCATAAGTAATTTATAGAGTCGATTATTGTTTAATTTAAATATATATATGCAGTCGTCAAATAGAATATTATGTTAAATTGCTGTAATATAGATTATCATACACAGTTGGAAAAAATGTGTTGAATTTAACATAAATCGCATGTTCCAAACGGTCCACTCAAATTTTTCAGTTAATTTTACACAAGGTGAATATGTTAGAAGGTAACACAAATATTATGTAAGAGAATAAATACAAAGAAAGATAACATCGACACAGTTTGTAAACATATCTCGTGTGGGAACATATCTTTTTTTAGAAAATTAATATTTATGATATGTTAAATTAACACATATTTCATTCATTTGTCTTAGAATTTACGTTTTAAGACACATTATTTTTATGTTACTTGTTTACTTACTCATAAATTGTCATTTTGATACTAAGAAACATTGAATATCAATTTCATAAAAAATCATTAAATAATATAATCACATTATGTTAAATTAACACTCGAATATGTTAAAAAATTCAACACAAATTGTTAACACAAACGTGAGTGGACCGTTTCCAACACAAATACACAAATTTTTTTACTGTGTAGAAGTTTTAGTCTTTGTCAGTTCTATCGATAAATGAATCTTTTGAACATTCGCAAAACCATTCATAGAATGATCACTGCTTACCGATTTTTATTGGTCGCGTCAGGCCATGGATGCGTGTTGCCAGTACTAATAAAATTAATATAGTGGAAAACAAATACTGTCGTGAGTCCATTTTAGTAAAAAATCTGTAAAACACAATAGTGAATTTCTTACAAGATATGAATAACTTGAGCAATTGTCAATGATTTCTCTTTTTCTGTATATATAACACTACATTTTAGCGATATCGATAATGTATAGTAAAATGTAGATATCAAATGTAGATTTTAATTAAGATAATTTTTTCTTAAATAAAATATTTATTATTATTTAATAACTTCACTTTCAATCTAGAACATTTGGAGAATTGGAGAATACATGATTGATCATAATTTCTAATTAAAATTTTTTATATTGTGATTATAAATTTTAACGGTTCAACCATTTTAAGATCAATCGAGTTATATCGCTTTTTTATCTCAGTAGAACTATATTACCTTATATGTATATGCTAAGAATTTTTTTAATGTTCACGTGTCAATAACTGTATTCTTTTCATTGTTTTAATTCAATGCTTTTCCAATTGGAATCAATTAAGATCTTTATTCGAAGCAAAAAAGATACTTTCAATAGAAACTTTTCAAAATTTCAATGAAATAGAAGAGGGAAAACTAATGAATCAGGAAACTGTATTCGCGAAGTTTCTACTTCGATGTTGTCCTACTATACACTGATCTAAATTTGGATCCGAACCACATCTTATATACGCTTGGCTTCGCGTCGTCCGTTTTGAGAACCGTGTCGTAGTGACTACGTCGCACATTCTTCCAGTAACGATATATTTCCATGTTTAAAAAAATATATTCAAATAAGCGCGTTATTAAAATGATAAATTTATATTTTCATTTAATTAAATAAATTAGTGGGGATATTTTTTGTTGTAACGTAACAAATAGGAAGAAAGTCAAGTTAAAATTGCAATAAAAAAAAACAGTCTATGCTCTGTTTTTTTTACTATTTGAACCAACTTTCTTTATTGTAAATTTGCCAATTTGTGATTAAAATATCTTTCATTTTCAAAATAAAATTAAAAAGAATACATTTTTATTTATGTAGCAAAAAAATTATGAATAAGAATAAATGAAGTAGTAAATTAATGAAAGATATAACAATATAAAAATTACGCATTATTTATAACACATAAAAAACTTAAGTAATTATTGTTTGTAGTCTTTTATCGCGATCATATTGGACTATAATGTCAAAATGAGTAATGTGAACTTTTTCTTTGCATTACATATACCGAAATAGATTAATCTTTTTCATATATTATTATTCACATTTGACAGTATAAATTAAGACATATTTTCTAAACCAAAAGTTATTCAAGGTCAATAAGATAAATCATTTAACCATCGCTTCATACTCAAAAAAACTTTTATTTAAATACATGCTAACAATACAGAATACTTTTAATCTGTGTCATGCTTTATTTATAAAAATGAAAATTAAATGTTAAAATTATTTTCGTTAAATCTTAAGCATACATGCTTTTAATAAGGATCTGTTGATCGATTCGGTTGAAGTCCGAATATTTTGTTCAGTTGATGAAGCAAATCCGATTTTTGCTTGTTGGCGAATAATACTTATGTTAACTGTTGTACACAAGATTGTATCATTAATATTTAAAAATAATATTACGCAGAAGAGAAAGGTATACACACAGAGATGACTGACTCATACAGTCGTTTAGTTTATAGTGAATACATCGATCCGTGCTTAATACACATCTTTACAAACATCATTACCTATTTATATATGTATGAAAATTTATTTAATGATTTAGTGCTTTCAAGGTAAGTGTCCATGTATTATTTAAATAAAAATTCATGGTTAAACTTAAATTCCCTTGGTAATAATTAATTAATTTCATGATCATCACATACATTTATTTCTATTATGGTCTTTATCGAATTTATCGAACACATCAATACATAAAAAAGAAACAACGATAGATCAAGCTGTAGATGCAGCTCTTTCAAGTTCACCCTTCCTGAAACTTATGTTACTGTTGGCAATTTATGTTTTATGTTACTGCTGCTCTTGACAATTTTAACAGGTTTCGTAATTGCGAAGATGTTCACGGCGAATTTCAACTCGGCAACTAGTGCTTCCCACAGCGTGGTCTGTACGAAAGATGATAATTAAGTTCCTCTTTAGTATATCGTAATGATGACGATGCAGTAACTAACTTATAAAATTTAAGGTTGGCATATAATATTGATATAGTTAAAATTCGCGTATTGTACATTTTGTTTCACAATTTAATTTACGATAAAAAGAAAGAAATTTTATATTGTATATTAAGTTTTTGAATGCTTTTCTTCGTTAAAAGGAAGAAAATTAGTTTACTTTATTTATAGTATTTATCCCAAAATTAATAATGAACACGATAAAATGAAGATTTACCTTCTCTATCACAGCGACTTTACGTATATTCCATAGAAATTCGCAAATTGCGATAAAGAACGAAGCGCTACAACCACACATTAGAACGAAGAATACACCTCCGAGGCTTGCCATCCCTAATTCGCTTGTGTTTGCATCCTTTTCCACTTCATCTTTTTTTTTTTTGCACAAATCTCCTCCCCTATTTTTCCACCACTTTGTCTTCAAGTTTTGCAGTATACCTTTCTCTCCTAACTTCTGGATCGCTAGGTTAATATCTGTTCTGTATGGAGAATCTGCAGAAAAGATGCAAGAGAAATGATTTATATAAAGATAAAGAAATGGAAAAATATTATAGTGAAATTATAATATTACTGCGTGGCATAGCAATTCCGTAGCCTCTGTTTTCGAGCAAACTGCCTATTTTAATTATGTCGCATTTACGCTCCGTATTATATTCTATAGCGGCACTTTCCATGAAAAAGGCATATCGTCGTTTGCCGTTGATAACTCGGTCGATGCCTGGAACGTATTGTAACAGAAAATTAATAAATTATAGTTTGCTCGTTTTATGCAAAGCAAATTACGTAATATAAAAGGTCAATAATCGAGCAACAAAGGAACTTACAAATAATCAAATTTATTTATTAAATACTAAACGTGAACGTTTCGGACCACGGGTCCTTCTTCGGCATATATGAAATTTCTTTTAGTGTTGTACATACATCTTCATGGTTTGAGATCGTGTATCCTAATGCGAATTCAGTCCGATTTTTGTCGATTGATCAAAGATTCTTCATAATCAAATAAAATTAATCATCAGAAATAAAATACAAGAAGCAGGAGCTCGTTATAAGAATCTTACATGGTTATAACGAGCTCCTGCTTCTTGTATTTTATTTCTGATGATTAATTTTATTTGATTATGAAGAATCTTTGATCAATCGACAAAAATCGGACTGAATTCGCATTAGGATACACGATCTCAAACCATGAAGATGTATGTACAACACTAAAAGAAATTTCATATATGCCGAAGAAGGACCCGTGGTCCGAAACGTTCACGTTTAGTATTTAATGAATACAAATAAATTTGATTATTTGTAAGTTCCTTTGTTGCTCGATTATTGATCTTTTATATTACGTAGGAAAATTAATATATTTGAAAAATAGAATTTAAAAGGAAAAATTTGTTTTTTCGAATAATGTAACCCTTTTTGAAGAAAGAAAGGTTTTTCATGTAGTTTTCATGTATTTTGTAGGTGGTGCATGTTCGATTTTGGTATTGCGTACCTTCTTCATAACTTGATGTGAATACGCTTGGCTTAGAGTCCACCATTGTAGTCCATATTTGTTTGTACGTTGAGTAATTCGAATTCTACAATTGGATAATATCGAATCGTATCTGTAATTTATTTTTATATTGGGCTAAATGTGATCATAAATAAGCTGCTAATGTACTTTGAAGAATGCTGCTATTGCGCCATCCTTTAGTGTACCATATTTAATTTTTGTTTGTTTAGGTAGGTCCTCAAATCCTTTGATAGGCATGTCTATTTTGTCTATAGTGAGAAAGGCGGCTAGATTCGCTGTATATGAGCTGTACATGGTCAAAGTAAAGAACCACCACATGCTAGCAAGCATGCGCAGAGATGATGCTCTACAATGAAGGTGATTTTATTTATATGTAAATACTATAATAGTTTAAAAGAATTCTTGGTTTAAAAATAATTTTTTCAATATTTAAAATATATTTATTAATTATAATGTAATGATCATATTAAAGCTTACTTGGGCAGTATGTTTGATCCTCGTTGCATAAAAGAAGCAATAGTCAGATAAAACGAATTTTTGAAGTTAAAATTGTTTTCGAGTTCTTTAGGATCAGCATTGCACAGATGCGGATTGTTCCACTCACGAGATGCCATTCTTGAGAAAGAATTTAAATTTACTGAATACAAATCACATTTTTTAAACGGTTATTTTCACTCTACTAATTTTAATTAATTTGTGAAATATAATTTTTATTACATTTTGTCAAAATTATAAAGTTTTTATCTCTGAAAATCTTACTTTGCCTGGAAAAAAAACATTATTGATACGACGAGATAAGCAATAGCTATGTAGAGCCAAACTTCTGTAGATAAAGGTAACAAGAAAGGGAAAAAAGGTGGCGTTTTCTTCTCCGGTTTGATAAATATAATGCTGAAACCTAATTAAAACAAAATTGTAATACTGCTATTAACATATAATCTAAAATTTAATTAATTATTTATTTTTAGTTTTACAATATCTTAACATGTTTAATTTATTTTTGAGTTCTCTAGAATTTATGAGTAATGAATAACGAATTATAACAATATTATAATATTTTTTATATATCCTTTTTAATAGTTAGTATTGTATTAATATCAGTATTTACCCGAGGTCATAAAAGGCAAACTAAAATCCACAACAGTCTTGCGTAAGGACGTTATAGTTAAATCGGATATAGCAAAATCGGATTCCTGAAATTTTTTAGAAATATATCATAAATAACAAATTACTGAAAAGTATTGCAAACTCGAACTATTGTTTGTTATCACAATAAATAGGAAAATCTTGTAAAATGAAAGTGATAAACAATTAACGTGAATTATAAATAAAGGATGGATGATTACATTAAAAAAAATACTATTATTAATTTAATTGTAATTTGAAAACAAACTCAATTGATCTACATGTTTCTGTTCTATCTTTTCATAAAAAAAAAACTTTTTTACTTTATTTTGTCATCAAAATGAAATGATAGAAATAATTTCAGAACAAATCTTTCTTTAAGCAAAAATTCCTGCGGAAAGTACAATTTTGTTGAAATATTAAAAAATTTAATTAGATGCAAATCGGAAATAATTTTATCGGGACCATCAAAATAATTAGATATGTAGTAAACTCAAGCATGATTAGCAATGCTGTGAAATGTTTTAATATTTCAGAAATCACCTTAAGCCTATATAATTATTTTGACAACCTAACGAAATTATTTTTTGATTTTGTATCTAGCAAAATTTTTAGATGTTTTAACAAATCATTTTTTCCCCTCTATAAAATATCGGACGTTACTTACATGATCCAGAATGCTCCTGATTAGACCATTCCAGGTCTTTGTTTGCGAATCATAACTTCCATATCCATCAGTTATGAGTTGGAATTCTACGCCTTTAAAGCGTAGAAATTGTGCTATATAGTTAATCAGATCGATGCAATAACCTTCATAACGTTTTTGATCGATCAATTCTCCGCGCGTTGAACCATCAGTCACTTCCATAATGTAGGGTGCATTCTGAATCGGACGAAATTATTACATATCTCCAAAAATATTTGTATAATTTATACTTAGTGAATTCTTATTACAATAAATGAAAAAAAGAACTAGGATATTAATAATAAATAAAAAAAAAGAGAGGATATATTATAGAAAAATGTTACGTAACTTCATTGATTTAACTTGTTCGCTATTACGTATATCACTAATGGTATCATTAGTGGTATACTATATTTCTGTTTTTATACCAACTAAGAGAAACCATATTTATATTGAAGCATTAAAGTAATATTATTAAATACGATATTGTTTTCCGTTCACACACAATTTGCTCTTTTCTGTACTCATAAATTCTGTACTCATATAAATGCCTTTCTCGAACTATACACTGAAAAAAAGATTGGCTGCTGCAGCAAATTAGATGGTAAAATATGGCATAGTATTTTTAATTGGCTGTAGCAGCCAATTTTTGGTTGCTTTAGCCTATCTGCAATGTCAGTATAGGATTTCGATAGACTAACACAACCAAAAATTGACTGCTGCAACCAATTACAAATGCTATGCCATATTTTACCATCTAATTTGCTGCAACAGCCAATCTTTTTTTTCAGTGTACACGTAATATAACTTTAAATTCCTCTCTTGTAATTTATGAATTACGTAATGAATTTACGAGATATAATTCTAATATTTAATGGCTACATTGAAAGAAAAGATTAGCTGAATATGGCATAACATTTTTAATTTGTTGCAGCTGCCAATTTTTGGGTACGTTCGTCTATCGAAATCCTACACTGACATTGCGGATAGGCTAACACAACCAAAATGGACTGCACAACCAAAAATTAGCTACTGCAGCCAATTAAAAATGTTGTGCCACATTTTACCATCTAATTTGCTGCAGCAGCCAATTTTTTCTTTCAATATAACAACATATAATTTTATTAGAGGTATAATTAATATGTTAAGCAATACTATACGAACTATGTTTACACTAATCTTAAATATCTTCTGTTGCAAAGATCTGTATCTAAGGACAACTTCCTCCTTAATCTTTGCACCATGAAAGTCCCAATGACCCGTTTGTATCATACCCGATTGTCGAAAGTTTAAAATTTTTACATTAAAATCTTGTCGACGACCGTATTCATCAATGGACATAATGCCTGTTATCTTTCCTTTCTTTGATATCTGTGTAAGAAAAAATTCATTTTCTTGTGTTAAAAATAAATAATGGAGATTTGATACTATTAATTTTTCAATATTTTTCGCGAATATTTATTATTTGAATACAGTTGTGGTCAAATAATGAATGTCGTAGTTATTATGTCAGTCATATTTAATAGATTTAATGTGGCGTTAAACTAACTTTAAAGAGTTTATTTTTTTATGCAATTGTATATAAAAAAATGTAAGAAAGTCATTATTACTTAAATTACTTTCTTCATAATATGTCTTAAGGTTTAAAGCCAAATTGCCATTTTTTTATTATATAAGAAGTGATAAAGAAAAACCTTCTCCTTACCTCTCTCATAACGCTAGTAATATTAGATCCTACTTGATACTTTTTATTACCATTAGTACAAAAAAGTGGTATAGGATCAATGGATATAGATTCTTCATTTTCAATATTTCTTGCATTTAGAGTCTCTAATGCTTTATACAACAAAAATACTGCGTCATAGAGGACCGCTGAATCTAGCTATATCAAAATCGTGAATTAGTTCAAGTAGTTAATTTAAATTTATATAACTTTTTATTTACAATTTTTTATATAAAAAACATCTGTGTCATCTAATTGAGTCTGAAAACATTAAATAAACTTTGATCTGTCTGCTAGAATAAATAAATACTTTCTTTTCTTAAGTGCTTGCGCAACAAAAAATTGCACAGAAATATTTTAATCTTTCGTGAATGTTAATTCGTTGATATTTATGGTAAGTAATATTTTTTCTGTTATAATTTTTTATTATCAAATAGCATTGACTGTTTGCAATCATTGGAGCAATTTTTTCGCACTCGTTTACTTGATCTATAGATCTGGCTTGACGCGAGCACTTAAGAATTATACATACATATAAATGCAATGAGAGAATATAAACTTTTGAAATTATATTATAATTAATATAATATATTATATTATATATGCTTATGCTTATTGCTTATAATTAAGATTATGTCGAATGAATACCCAATCAATTCCTTCTATGTCATCATTCTCTCTTATGCTCAGTCCAGTGACATTAACGGTACCATTTAGCATCTTGACAATCGGTAGTATAGATGAATCCTACGATTTAATAGAATGACAATTTCAAAAACTATTTTATGCTATTTATTGTTTTCTAGCAATCGCGGAGATACACAAGAATAACATAGAATATTATGCTTTACCTATTATATTTAATTTTCCTTAAATGTAATTTTTAAAAATTTAATTTATAATTTTTCAATCTTCAATCATCAACTTTCCGGATCTAAAATATGTGAGATACGTTTTCGAAAGTATTATGTTGTTATTGAAATGAAACATATAATATACAGTACCAAATATGAAATAACGAAGTTTGAATAACGTGCTTGTAAATTGACTTCCTTTGCCTGATGAAGCACTTTCATGATATTTTCCGGCTTAACATCGATAATTATATTGCATACTGTATACAAATAGCATATCTTTTTAAGCATCGAGCGATAATCTGGTCCTTCAAGCTTCCATGCTGTACGTGTAATCGGATTGTCCTTCTTTCCTTTTAGAATCAAAGTCTTCTGAAGGCGTGATAATCCTTCGTCAGTTTCGTAAATTGCTACGAATTTTCGCCAATTCATAGAATCAATGACATCAGCGATAGCCTGTACAATTTTGTTGATTAAAAATATGTTACAAAAATAATAATTGTATTTCGAATGTGCATCGTGATATTAAAATCACGATCTAACTTGCATCTTAGAAAAGCAGATTATGTTTTATTCTATTGGGTAATTATTCGATTTGATTAATTAACTAAATATGAATCTAAAAATCACCATAAAAATAAATTGAATTATTACTTGCACTGTCAAACATGTCCAAGTTATTATATCTACATTTATACATATGCTATTATATTATAGCCATATGCTATTATATTATAGCTATTATATCTACAAGTTATTATACTTACTACTAAAATCTATATATTTAGCTACGAAATGATTCTTTTAAAATGCGACTAACCCGGCTGACTAGTTCACTGGCAGGAAATATGTTTATGGTCATTGATGATGAAGCCTCCTTCTGCTTTTCCTTTCGTTCGCTTTCTCGCCAGACATACTCGATATGCGGTATATCAAATCGCGCGGCAATGCTCGCAACTATGTTACTAGTATACCGCCTTGAAGGCCCGAAAATGGCTGCCACACCTTCTTCAAGAAGTTCACAAGCTATATAGAAAATAATACAATGTCGAATAAGTAAATCAACAAATATGTTAAAAATTAGAATAACTATTTAATGTAAAACCTTCTTCATAAATCTGTTTTTTTTTTTTCAATTTCCTGACGTATTTCTATAAAAAAGTATCTTAAAAAAGAATAATTCTCTTGTTCCTTTTTTAATTATAAGCATATCTTAATTTAATATCCATCTGAAGTTTGCCCCCAACTTTTGAAAAAATTAATTTTCTATAGCTCATTCGATTGCTCATCTTTCGCACATGTATGCACATTTCGAATTTTCGTTTGCACATTTCTATGCTATAGAATGTTAATTTTTTCAAAGGCTGCAGGGGATGCCAACTTAACGAATTAATTTGATGACATCTTATTTACATTATAATGTGTATATTATATATGTTTAATTGTAATGATAGTTTAAAAAATTTTTTAATTTCTATCCTTGGGATTAGAATAAGTGTATTTTGTAGGAAAATAGATATAATTATCAGAAAACATACATGTCAACATTATGGAATATTTGTCACATGGAATAATTAATCTCACGTGTACTTACTAGCTATAGCAGTCATAAAGCTATCGGTATTGCCTTCGATGTACCTAGTGACTGGTACAAGTACAAATGTGAGTGTAGGGTTTTCGTATTTTGTGTCATAGATTGCTCTTAAGAATACAGATTGAAGATCTTCTTCGCCTTTGTGAAAAATTGCTCCTAAAAGTATATTAATAAATGAAAAATTAATTAAAAAATTGATATTATATTTATATATACATATATATATGTTGTAAAGAAAATGTTTCTATAAATAAATGTGTTGAATTATTACTCGAGAAAATATATTTTATATACATATATT